TTCCGAATGAATCTGTGCATTGTGTGTCATGTCAATCTGCAAAGCAACCAGCTTTATCTTTTTCGAGCAGTCATTCTCATTCTACTGCTCCTTTTGATCTTGTGCATTCTGATGTTTGGGGTCCATCTCCTACACCCACCATGGGGGGTTCCAGGTACTTCGTGTTATTTATTGATGATCATACTCGTTTTACCTTGATATACCTTATGAAAAGTCACTCTGAATTATCACAAATTTATATTGATTTTGCTACCATGGTCAAAACGCAATTCTCTAAAATTATCAAAGTTTTGAGAACTGACAATGCTACTGAATATCTTGGTACTAAACTTCAATCTTTTTTGAAAGAACAGGGTACACTGCCACAACGATCTTGTCCTTATACTTCTGAACAAAATGGGCGAGTCGAACGCAAACATAGACACATCCTTGATTCTGTTCATGCTTTGCTCATATCATCCTCTTGTTCAGAGCGATTTTGGGGTGAGGCTGCTCTTACAGCTGCTTATCTTATTAATCGTATTCCATCATCAGTCCTTAATAACCAGTCTCCATATGAGCGTCTACATGGTATTCTTCCTGCTTATAATCTTCTTAAGGTTTTTGGTTGTACATGTTTTGTTCTTCTTCCACCTCATGAACATAACAAGTTAGAACCTAGAGCTCGATTATGCTATTTTTTGGGTTATGGGATTACACAAAAAGGATATCGTTGTTGGGATCATGTGTCACAAAAACTCCGAGTTTCATGTCATGTTGTCTTTTGGGAACACACTATGTTCTCATTATTGTCAAACTTCAAAGTGTCATCCTCTCATCAACCTCCATTTTTTACTAATCCTTCTATTGAGCTATTTCCTAGTGATTCTAATGTAGGTACATCTGATGAGCTCTACAATGCCTCACCACATGCTCCAACTAGTTCTATAGAAGATGATCTGCCTGCTGATAATGCATTAGATAATTTTGAGCCTTCTTCTACTTCCTCGTCTACAAATGAGCTTGTTGTCCCATCCTCGAGTCATCCTACTCGGGTAAGAAAGCCTCCAAACTACCTTTGTGATTATCATTGTTTTCCTGCTATTACTTCGTTACATGAGTCTCAATCCTATCAAGAGGCCTCTTCTAACCCTCTTTGGTAACAAGCTATGCAAGATGAATTACAAGCTCTTGAGAACACTCGTACATGGGATTTAGTTGATCTCCTTACTGAAAAATCTCTAATAGGCTGTAAATGGGTGTACAAGATCAAAACGCGATCTGATGGTTCTGTGGAGTGTTATAAGGCACACTTGGTTGCCAAGGGTTTTACACAGGAGTATGGAATCGACTATGAAGAGACATTTGCTCCAGTTGCTCGTCTTACATCTGTGTGCAGTTTTCTTGCTATCGCTGCTATACGGAGATGGAAATTGTTTCAGATGGATGTGAAAAATGCTTTTCTTAATGGTGACCTAGAAGAAGAAGTTTATATAAAACCACCTACTGGGTTCCACCATCCTCCAAACAAGGTATGTCGATTGCGCCGTGCATTATACGGGTTGAAGCAATCCCCTCCAGCTTGGTATGCAAAGTTTAGTGCTACTGTGAGTGAGTTTGGTTTTACTTCCAGTCCACATGATACAGCTTTGTTCATTCGTAAGACTGCTCGGGGTATGGTTCTTTTACTTCTTTATGTTGATGACATGATTATTACTAGAGATGATGTCGCAGGTGTTGAGGAGTTAAAACAATCTCTTAGTCAGAAATTTGAGATGAAAGATCTTGGTGTTCTGAGCTACTTTTTGAGGCTTGAAGTGACCTCTTCAGATGATGGCTACCTGCTTTCTCAAGTAAAGTATGCCTCCAATCTTGTTTCTAAAGCTAAACTCAATGATGGAAAGAGTGTTTCTACACCTCTTGAACCTAATGTCAAGCTTACACCTATGGATGGCTCTCCACTTTCTGATCCTACTCGCTATCGGCAATTGGTTGGTAGTCTGGTTTATCTTACTACGACACGCCCTGATATAACATATGCAGTTCACATTGTTAGTCAGTTTATGGCTGCTCCTCGCTCCACTCATTATGTAGCAGTACTTCGCATTATTCGCTATGTTAAGGGAACATTATTTCATGGACTCCATTTTTTTGCCAACTCCTCCCCTATGCTTCGCAGTTACTCTGATGCTAATTGGGCCGGTGATCCTTCTGATCGTAGATCTACCACCGATTATTGTCTTTTCTTTGGTAATTCTCTCATCTCTTGGCGGAGTAAGAAACAAGCTATTCCATCTCGTTCTAGTACTGAAGCTGAGTATAGAACTCTCGGGGATACCACATCAGAACTTCTTTCATTGCGGTGGCTTCTTGAAGATATGGGCATTCCTCAACCTTCCTCTACTGATTTATATTGTGATAATCAAAGTGCTATAAAGATTGCTCATAATGATGTCTTTCATGAACGCACTAAACACATTGAGGTTGATTGTCACTTTATTCGCCATCATGTTGCACAAGGAACTGTTCATTTGGTTTTCATTGGCTCCGCTGATCAACCAGCAGATCTCTTTACCAAGGCTCATTTTCCTAGACGCTTTCGTACTCTTCTTTCCAAACTCAAGTTGATTTCATCTCAACCACCTTGAGTTTGAGGGGGATGTTAAGATGTGAACATAATTATATTTAGAATTATTGTAAATATTTTATACTTTAGAATATTCTCTTTATATATTTTATATCTTAGAATATTCTCTTTGTAAACACCTATATATAGGTCATTGTACATACAGTATAATTCAAGAAAGCAATAAACCTTTCTTCAGATATTTTTCCTTCTTTTCAGTTTCTAACAAGAGGAGAGTGAATGATTGCAGTGGAGGTGATGATATTGGTTCACAATATGAAAACA